AAATGGACAGGTCAGAGAGTCCAAGAACTGGAGGTCAGACAAAGACAGGCCAGATACAGGATCTGGCAAGAAAGAGAACTCAGCTAAAGCATTCCTGGATACTGGACAGATCACAGCCCCAAGGAGACTAAGGGTGGTGACTTGAGTCACACCCTCTAGTAAGGTGATATCAAGACTCAAGATACATCCCACCCAAACCCTGCCTCACTATGATAAAGACAGCACACCACAGGCATGAAGGGTTAGGATGTTCCCACATCACAAAATGGAAGCCAGTTCCACATCCAAACCTGTACTGTCTACGGAGTGGTGCATTGACTGAGATTCAAACCTGGATCTCCTGCATGAAAGGCAAGATTTCTACCACTGAGCCACTGCTACCGCACTCTGAGGAGGTTAGCTGAGTTCTCATGAACAAACCTGTATTCGGTTGAGAAGCAAAAGAAAACAAAACATGAATAATCACACCCTCCTCCACGCAGCTCCATAGCCCAGACCCCAACTCATCTAATGCCACCAAATCCCACATTCAAGTCTTTTCTTTTTCCTCTCCTGGTATTATTTTATTTTTAATTCTGACCTATTTTGCCATAACGCGTGAAATAAAAACAATCCGTATTCTGCTTTTACTGTTGTTTGCGTTTTGTTTTAAATTTCCTTTACTCCTGAGCCATAGTTCTTGTTTCTTCAATCTCTTTCTCTTCTGTGCCACCTCCTCTCTGGTTTAGGGTTAGTCTGTTCCTTTTCAGTGAGGATCTTCTCACTGTGGCAGGGGACGGTTCACGGAGGGGTTGAGCTGACCATGAGCTTTGTAAGTTCGGTGGCACATCTTGGGCGCTCTGTTGACCTGCATGTGCTCAATGATCAGAGAAGCCACATCTAAGCCCTTAAATTCAGCACTGCTCTGTGCATTTTTAAACATGTGTAGCAAAAATTCAGCTGTCTCTTGGAACCACCAACCCTGTGTCCAACCCCACTGTTTGGCTTGGACACATCTGCAAGCAACACCAGTGTAACGTTGGAATGATACACATTACTTCTGCAAAGTGTTATCTCTCAAATAACTTGGTGGCCTTTCAGATAGGCATAGCCTTCACAGCCTGAGCAGTCTCAAGGGTCTTCTTAAAATGGACCCAGAGATTTGAGTCTCTTGATTTATATGAATTTGTGGGGTTTTCTGGGTCAAGTGAGTAGCGAACCATTTTGTAAAATGATCTTAGGCTGCTTACCAGAAGAGCCCACTTCTAAGTCTGTGCTTAGTGATACAGGGAGAAGGAGGAGCCCTCATGAGGCAAGGGCTAAGTGCTGAGCTGCAAACCAGAAGATTGGCGGTTCAAACCCATCTAGTGGCACTGAGGAAGAGACCTTGCAGTCTGCTTCTGTAAAGATGATAGCCAAGGAAACCCTAGGGGCCAATTCTACTTGGTTACATGGGGTTACTAGGAGGTGGTACTTGATGTCATGAGGAGAATGGTGTTCACCAGTCCTCCTGTGTGGTGCTGCGGGTTGATGCACTGGACTGCGAGGTTTGACCCTCAAGGTCAGCAATTCAAGCTCACCAGCCACTCTCAGAAACCCTATACAGGGTCACTATGGGTTAGAACTGACTCGACAGCACTTAACAACAATTCCCATACCAGGAGTCCTGACGTCATAGTGGGTTAAGCGTTGGGCTGTTTATCCACAAGGTCAGTGGCTGAAACCCACCAGTGAAAAAGGTAAGTCTGTGTGCTCCCATAAAGATTTAGTCCTGGAAACATTAAGGAGCAGTTCCACTCTGTCTCACTGCAGGGTCACTGTGAGTTGGAATCTGCTCACTGACTGGTAGGAGATTCGGGTTTGGGTTTTATCCCCGTACCTGTGAATGTCATCGTGCTTGGTAAAATGAAGGATCCGTGAAAAAGAGGACCATGCACCCAACAAGACAAATGGACCCAGTGGTGGCAATAATGGCATCAAGCTTAACAGTGATTGTGAGGAGGGTGTCGGGCCAGGCCGTGCGTCCTTCTGTTGCTTAGAGTCGCTGTGAGTCGGAACTGACTCCATGGCATCTAACAGTAACACCTGTGATGTGTTCACTGAACTAGGTTCTTGGGAGATGTGGCCAGTCAATCAGAGCAGGGTAGGGTGGGCCCTAATCCCTTCTGAGTCAGCTTTTATAAAAAGAGCACACAGAAATAGTCACACACACACACATGAAATCAAGTCAGGGCCCTCAAGTCTGTTCTGACTCATGGCTACCCAATGTTTCAGGGAGTACAACTGTGCTCGGCAGGGCGTTCCTGGCTGCAGTCTTTTATCAAAGCAGATTGCCAGATCTTCCTTCCATAGTGCCACTCTGTGGGTTCAGACCACCCATGTTTATGTTCTTAAGCCAAAAGCAAACGTTTTCTACCACCCTGGGACCTTCAGCATCAAACAGGACTAGACAATCCTGGAAGATGCAGCTGAAAACCAACAACTGTCAAGAAATGCCTGGGGCTACCATAAGCAGAAAGGGAGCTCTGGTAGCTAGTGGTTGCCAACTGCAAGGTCAGCAGTTTGAAACTACCAGCTATTCCGCAGGAGAAAGATGAGGCTTTCTGCTCCCGTCAAGATTTACAGCCTCAGAAACCCTGTACAGGGTGGCTATGAGTCGGAACCGACTCCACGGCACATCACAACAACACCATAAGCAGAGAGGAGGAAGCATCTTCCCCTGCTGTCACTTTGAAATCGGATTTCTGTTTTCCAGAATTGAGAGAGAATGCATTTCAGTGTTGTAAGCCGCCCACTTTGTGGTACTCTGATCCTGCAGCCCCAGAAAACTAAGACAGAGGCTGAGCCCTTCTCCCATTCCGCCACCTGCCCCGTCCGTCATCGATCTCACTCCAAAGCAGAGGAGGAAATGGAGACGCAGTGAGGAGCTGCAGGCTGCTGGCGTTTCAATCTTAGGTGTGGTGTAGTTTTACATTTCACACCTTGGTCTGTGGACCATTCGGAATTACTTTTTATGAGATGTGGAAAGTCTGTGTCTAGATTCAACTTTTTACACTTGGGTGACCGACCAGTGTCAGCACCGCTTGTTGAAAGCCTGAACAGCCGGTCAGGCGCACTCCACTCAGAAGCACCTCAGAAGAATGGTCTGGCAATCCACCGTCTGACAAATCACCCATGGAAAGCTCTATGGAGCACAGGTTCTACTCTGACACACATGAGGTCGCCTTAAGTGGGCATCAAGACCAGGAAACGGCAACGGGTTTAGTTTAATAAGCAAAAAGGTGGAAAATGCAGGACTTGGGCAGAAAGAGCTCTTTTTAAAATTTTGTCGTCACATTTTGACAACTTTTTACCTGTCACCAAAAGCATTTTGCCGGGGGCCATCCTAGTCTAGTTCAGAGTTTTAACCCCACTCTCGGACCTGAGTTCCTTTGTTATTATTGTGTTATTGTTAAGTGCCGTCGAGTCGGTTCCGACCCATAGCGACCCTGT